CCTCCCAAAGCAGAAGCCAGAGCAAAGGCTTTGAAAGGCAAGAAAGCAGTGCTGAAAGGCATCCACAGTCTCTCTCTCTCTCTCTCTCTCTCTCTCTCACACACACACACACACACACACACACACACACACAAAGATCCTCACATCACCTACATTCTGATCGCCCAAGACACCGTGTCTCCAAAGGCAGCTCAAATATCCTCAAAAGAGTACCCCCAGGAGAAACAAGCTTGACTACTATGCCATCAAGTTCCCCCTGACTACAGAGTCAGCCATGATGAACATAGAGGACACTTGTGTTCATTGTGGATGTTAAGGCCAACAAGCACCAGATCAAACAGGCTGTGAAGAAGCTCTGTGACATTGATGTGGCCGAGGTCAACACTCTGATCAGGCATGATGGAGAAAAGAAGGCATATACGTTCAACTTTGGATGTTGCCAACAAAACTGGGATCTTCTAAACTGAGTCCGGCTGACTAAATCTAAACATGAATTTTTTCACCATAAAAAAAAGATGTAGGGCTATTCAGGTTTTCTATTTCTTTTTGAGTGAGCTTAATTCATGTTTTTCAAAAAATTTGTTTATTTCATCTAAGTTGTTGATTCTGTTGACAAGTTGTTCATCATATGCTCTTTTTAAAATGTTTTATTTATTCATTTTGAGAGAGAGAGCATGAGCAGGTAGGACAGAGATGGAGAGAGAGAGAAAGAATCCCAAGCAGGCTCCTCACTGCCAGCACAGAGCTGGATGCAGGTCTCGAACTCATGAACTGTGAGATGGTGACCTGAGCCAAAATCAAGAGTTGGATGTTTAACTGACTGAGCCACCCAGGCACCCCCAGAATATGCTTTTATTAGTCCTTTTAATATTGGTAGTGATGCCACCTCCCTTATTCCTGATATTGGTAATTTGTGTTTCATATTTTTTTTTCCCTGCTCTGGCTAGAGGTTTATCAATTTTATTGATTTTGTTCCCCCTCAAACAAGCATCTTTTGGTTTTATTGTTATTTTTCCTCTTTTTTTTTCTGATTATATTATATACATATTTTTTTTTTTCCAACGTTTATTTATTTTTGGGACAGAGAGAGACAGAGCATGAACGGGCGAGGGGCAGAGAGAGAGGGAGACACAGAATCGGAAACAGGCTCCAGGCTCTGAGCCATCAGCCCAGAGCCCGACGCGGGGCTCGAACTCACGGACCGCGAGATCGTGACCTGGCTGAAGTCGGACGCTTAACCGACTGCGCCACCCAGGCGCCCCAATATATTATATACATATTTTTAAAAATGTTTATTTTTGAGAGAGAGAGTATAAGTGGGAGAGGGGCAGAGAGAGAGAGAGAGATACACAGAATCAGAAGCAGGATCCAGGCTCTGAGCTGTCAGCACAGAGCCCAACACGGGGCTTGAACCCACGAACCATGAGATCATAACCTGACCCGAAGTCAGATGCTTATCCAACTGAGCCACCCAGGCACCCCTGATTATATTATATTTCTGTTCTAACTTTTATTTCCTTTCTTCTTTTTTTAAATGTTTGTTTATTTATTTATTTATGGGAGAGAGAGAGTATGCGAGCAGGGGAGGGACAGAAGAAGAGAGGGAATTCCAAGCAGGTTCCATGCCATCAGTGCAGAGCCCAATTCGGGGATTGATCCCATGAACTGTGAGATCATGACCTGAACACAAATTAAGAAGAGTTGGATGCTTAATTGACTGAACCACCCAGGTGTCCCAAATTATTTCCTTTCTTTTGCTCATTTTGGGTTTTATTTTCTCTTTTTCTAGTTTCTTTACCATGGAAGCTGAGGCCATTGATTTGAGATCTTTTTTTCTTTTTCTATATAGGTGTTAAGGGCTATTATTTTCCCTTTAAGTACTGCTGTTAGTGGAGTAACAGCACATAAATCTTGATATGTTGACTTTTCAATTTTAATCAGTTTAAAATACTTTCTAATTTACCTGTTGACGTATTCTTTGACTAAGGGTATTTAGAAACTTATATTTAACAAAAATTTTTAGAAGATTTTATTTTTAAGTAATCTTTATACCCAATATGGGGTTCTGACTCCTAACCCTGAGATCAAGAGTCGCATGCTCTACCGACTGAGCCAGCCAGATGCACCAGAAGTATATTTTTAAATTTCCAACTATTTGAATATTTTCCAGATATCTGGCTGTTATTAATTTCTAACTTAATTACATTATAATCAGAGAACATGCCATATAAGACCTGAATTCTTTTTAAAGAGTTTTAGGGGTGCCTGGGTGGCCCAGTCAGTGTAGTGTCTGACTCTGGATTTCAGCTCAGGTCATGATTTCATGGTTATGAGATTGAGCCCAGCGTTGGGCTCTGAGCTGGGTGTGGAGCCTGTTTAAGATTCTCTGACTGTCTCTCCTTCTGCCCCTCTCCTGCTTACGTGCGCACGCTCTCTCTCTCTCTCAAAAAAGTTTTAAAAGCTGGGAGAGAGCTATTAAAGCATATTTTGTGCAACGGTAATAATCTCAAAGGGAGGTAAAAATTGATGAAGGAGAGGAAGGGAATAATTCAAGACTAAAATGTGTGGGAGGCCGGTGTAGTTGGGATCTAGAACTCAGATGGGGGCTTGTCATTGGAGTAGGACTTTTATCACGGGAGGAAAGCAGAGTGTGTGGGTCTCGCTAGGTGGTTCTTCTTGATGGCATTATTTACTCTTTGAAGGATGAGCCATTTAAAGTCGGCCAGAGGTTTCAGTCTGAGAGATTTGAGGAAGTAATAGCCATCTTGTGGAGTGTGAAGGTGAATGTATTAGGGAACTAGGCAGCATTATCTGTGGAGCCGGGGCGCCATTTATGATCTGTGGTCATAAATGTCACGACAACATGGGCAGCTTCCTGCCATTCCCCCCGCCCCCGGCTCCCCCGCCTCATGCCTAGCTGCTTGCACAGGCTGGAAACAGTGGTGATGGTGGAGGGTTGGTGTTTTGCCACGCTCACACACAGCCTGAAGGGTGTTTGCATGGAAAGGATTCTAGTGCAGGGCTGTGGCCTCAAAGGGTGGAGCATAGGACCTGAGGAAGTTGGAGATTGATAACAGGGAAGAACAGTAGCGTTGCTGGAAGGAGAGGTCTCCAAGGGTAGGACACCTCTGGAGGAAGCCAGGTCCTGGGGGTCAGTGTGGGATGCTTTGAGATGGAGGGCTCAGAGAATGTGTGGGGAACTACACGGAGGGGGCAGGGAAATGTCGTTGGTGTGATGAAAGTCAAGGGACTGGAAAGCCAGGATACCGGATGGATCCTGCACATGGCTCCTGACCTTATCAGAGATGAGGCCAGGCTTGGAGGGGACGAAGATACTGAGTCGTGCTGG